GTACTATCTCTATTTTGAATGAATTTATCCTGAAAATTGTCAGTGTTTTTACTGTTGTTTGTCATATGAAATTTTCTGTGATCTACGTTATATTACACCACTTTTCAAAAAGTTTATGGTCGGTAAGATTTTTTAATGTTTTTGATAGAAGTTTCTTATGCTCACCAAGACTGCATTTATTTGATCCAAAACAGTAATATTTTGAAACATTGTTTCAATTTACAATAAGTGTTTTCTATTTTAATAGAATTACAAATTTAATTTATTCCTGTGATGACGAAGCTGAATTTTTCAAAAGCCAATTACACCAGTCTTCAGTGTCACATCCTTCAGAAATGATTCATTGTACAGATTTGGTGCTCAAGAAACATTTCTTATTATTATCAATGTTGACTACAGTTGTACTGCTTAATATTTATGTGGAAGCCGTAATACAAAAATTATAATTTACTTTAAAAAAACAAAAAAAACAAATCATACTCAACAAACGTGTACATGTAGTTTGCATTCCACATACATACAAATAAACAAGCAAAAAAAAAGTAAAAATCAAAATTAGGTATTTTAGTTTTATCTTTTAAAAACATTCTATTATATCTCTGTGGTACACTCAGCACATTTCGCTTGCGGTGGTCTTGACCCAATACGTGTGGTTGCTTGTGTTGGTTTGGCCCTAACAATGTTGTTACTGTGGAGTTCCTCTCCCAGCAGGGGCTGAATTAAAGTTTGTGTGACCCCGGCACTAATTTCATGCTGCACAGTTCCTCGAATAATGATGTCAGCTGATTAGGTTACCAAAATGGTTGTGTTGGCAGTGAACCCCTGACATGTTCTAATGATCCTGAGGCGTGCTGGGTTTTTGGGGCAGAGGAGTTGGGGTTCGGGGTGGGCAGCGTGGGCCGGGGGCTTTAGAGGGAGATTGTCCATGCTCTTTCGGTTTAGAGGGGGCATGAGGTCGAGGGAAGGTGGAGGCACATTAGGCGAGAGAGAGGCTTTGACCTTTAACAGCTATAATATCACTTGCCTGTTCACTAAAGTCTCTTTCAGATCAATCAGAACTTGTCTAGGAGACAAAAATGTATTTAATTGTGGTGTTCTATTTTTCTCCTTTTCTCTCCCTCCCTTGCGTTTTTTTCACAATCGGACTCACTGAGGGATAAGTAATTGAAGTAATGGAGAGTAATAAGGGCTGGGAAGAGAGAGCTTTGGCCTTGCCCCTATTGTATCTTGTGTCACACAGGTTCAAAGGTCAGGCAGCCTGCATATTCTATTAGGGCGCACAGCCTTCATTGGGGCAAAAGAGTTTACCCAACAGTAATTAAAATGCCAGCAGTGGCCAGGCGAGCTGAATATGGTTGATGGGGCACTGCTAACTGGGTTGACAGCTGCCATGGCTGTCTTTGCCAATATGCTTGGGCCCTCAATGAACAAACCAACTGAAGCCATCACAGACGAGAACGCATGTTCTCTCAACTTTACTAGCACTCTCTTTCTTTCTTTCTTTCTTTCTTTCTTTGTTTCTGCCTTTTTTCACACCAAAAATGGCTTCGCATTTTGCTCGCATATCTCAGTTTCTCAGCGTTTTCATGTTATATCTTCAACGACTTGTTGGGTTTTTGTTTGGTGCTAATTTTACTATCAATTGTTTTGTTTTTACCTCACCAACTATTCAAATTCCTCTCGGAAAGCAAGCAAAAAGTTCACATCAAAAATTATAATTATAATGATAACTGTATTGGCGTCCACACACCAATGCACAATAAAGTTCTGTTTGTTGGAAGCACATACTGCAGTTTTGTCATCAGTCAGGATGGATTTTGATTGGCTGTCAATGTTTTTGTCATTCATCAGGTGGAAAAATCGTTCTGAAAGTGATTCCAATTACATTGTTTCTCTGTGCAGTTATCATTATAGTTGTGGTGTGGAATCTGCTATCCATTTAAATTTAGAACAATTTTAGAACTGTATCTTTATCATTGTTGGTGTGAACAGGCCTTAACCAACCGACACTGCATATGTTGTATGTGTGTGTGTGTGAGATGAAGGTTCACTGTCCCTCTCTGTTTTTGTGCTGGGGGTTTGGAGTTGGACACCAGGCTCTACAGAGCTTATTCACACGGGCTGGTTGTTAATTTGAGGCCACACTGGTATTCCATTGTGAAGCCCGTTTCTTTGGTTGATGTTAGTGGGAGGGCAAAGAACCCCCTGCTCTTACTCTAGGTTTTCTCTAGAGGTATGAAAGTATGTGAGAGAGGGAGATGCTTTGTGATTTGTGTAGTTTTACGCACTTCTCGCGTGGTGCGTCAGTAAGCATTCGCTGCGAGGCATGTTGATGCCATATAACACTTTTTACATAGTTGGCACAGAGACTGAGAAAGCATTCTGTCAATGAAAGAGGCCATCCCAGCAGGGCATTGTAGGAATACCTGAGTGCTAAAACAGGCACATTCTTGTGTGTTCACTAGTGTGAGGGCCCTATTGTTCAGCTCACCTCCGAACACAATGCAGGGAGCAGGAGATCCAGGAGGGCTCTAATCCCTGACTGTATCACGCAGGTCAAAACTACTGCGCTCACACACCTGCCCACCTGTACCTGCTCAACTAATTTCAACCTGTCACCCAACTAAAAAGGGGGCATCCGAGAGTTTTTGTTTCTTTTTTCGCCACGTTCCTCCTTTTTTCCCCCTAGATGTCTCTTGAACGAAAACACATCTGTGATCAAATCCGTTGTCTCAACATACCCTTCAGCCACTCTTTACACCTCGCTACGCTCCATTCACTTTTCAAAATTAGTTTGTAATGCTCTGTGTGTATTCTCTCCAGGAGCCAAAATATTACTCCACTGTTACGTCACCTGCTCAGTATTTAAATGCTAAAAGCATTAAATGCTAGAACAAAGATTATTTCAGCAAATGTTCTGAAAAGCACTGAAGGCTCTTAATCACAGATTTTTACAGATTTTGTAAAGGTTTCTTAATAATAAATATAAACTAATAATGTTAATAACATTATTATTATTATTATTGTTATTAATATTAGTCTTTTGTAATTAATATGAATAAACCTTTGCAAAATCTGGTATAAAATGCTGACACATTATTGTTATTATTATTATTATTATTATGCCTAAAAATGCTGAAATGTGTGAATGCATATATTTTGCAATCATTACTAAAGATCTTTATATCTTTACAGCAACTTTGTGACAGGAACAGCCTGCTGTGAGAATTTTGCTCCTCTTCGAATCTGGGACACAGAAAGGTATGGGGGGCGGGTTTCTACATGGCTATTTACGTATGTTTTTGTATTTTTTATATAATTAATTTATTGTAATGTTTATTTGTCCTATTGAACCTGGCGCTGGAACATGTTCCATCTCTTCCATTTTTGGTTGTTGTATTGCGTCTTTGTTTTGTCAGGGAATTGTGTTTTTACATATTTTATGACGCTGTGCCAATTTAAAAAATATTCATATTATTATTATTATTTTACATAATTACTTGAAATGATGTGTTATGCGTAAATTGATAGCCCTACATTTTTTTGTGTGTTTTCTGCTCCCTATCGAAATTACCATTAGATTTTAAGTTAGATCTTAATTATGTTTTAATGCATAGGCTTTCATAGCAACATTTAGTTAAATGTGGTTCCTAGTACACGTATGAAGCTCAGAAAATGTGTGAATTCTGATGTGTTGCTATTTGAACTGTTAATTTTACACAAAGTGAACGTAGAACTTTATCATGAGGATGGAAGCTGCACCATTATCCCTTCAACTCAGTCTTTTCTTTTTGGGAAGTTCAAAGCTGACTTGAAAATTCCTGTCATGAAAGGCCAGGCTTAAACCTGATACAACCTGACTGGTTTCCGTAATTCCCCAGCTTTACCTGTTGAATTCAGCCTACTTGCATGTTGTCAGTCTAAGGAAAGTAAAAAAAAAAGGACCGTGAGTTCTGGCACCAAATGACAAGGAAATTTGAGATGGGAAAAATTGCGGAGAAGGAGTAGAGGTGATTCCAGACAGATTTCCCTGGGAATCACATGTTCTATAAAACACCGGAACACAAAAGTTGAGGCAAGATTAATGTGACCCACCGATGTGCCTGCGTTTGATCTGTGAAGCGCGGGTAGCCAGTGTCAGCTTGATGGACACGTGGGCTGGCCGGCTATCAGAATGCAGATGCACGCACAGGTAATCAGGCCACTGAATCAAGTTAGACTTACTACAACCCTGTTAAACTAGGAACCAATTAAGGTTACACAGAGGTGTGACAGTCAGTGAACAGGCAAGAGTCTTTGTTGCTTTGATTTAAAACACAGACATTTTTCAGAAATGTCATATATCGTAATGTTATATTTTTTTTTCATGATTTTTTCAAAGAAGTCCCTTATGCTTATCGAAGCTGCATTTATTTAAACTGTAATAACTGTATATTATTACAATTTAAAATATCTTTTCTATTATTTTAAAATGTAATTTTAATTTTCAGCGGTCACTACTCCAGTCTTCAGTGTCACATGATCCTTCAGAAATCATTCTAATATGCTGATTTGGTGCTCAAGAAATAACAAAGTGAACGTAGAACTTTATCATGAGGATGGAAGCTGCACCATTATCCCTTCAACTCAGTCTTTTCTTTTTGGGAAGTTCAAAGCTGACTTGAAAATTCCTGTCATGAAAGGCCAGGCTTAAACCTGATACAACCTGACTGGTTTCCGTAATTCCCCAGCTTTACCTGTTGAATTCAGCCTACTTGCATGTTGTCAGTCTAAGGAAAGTAAAAAAAAAAGGACCGTGAGTTCTGGCACCAAATGACAAGGAAATTTGAGATGGGAAAAATTGCGGAGAAGGAGTAGAGGTGATTCCAGACAGATTTCCCTGGGAATCACATGTTCTATAAAACACCGGAACACAAAAGTTGAGGCAAGATTAATGTGACCCACCGATGTGCCTGCGTTTGATCTGTGAAGCGCGGGTAGCCAGTGTCAGCTTGATGGACACGTGGGCTGGCCGGCTATCAGAATGCAGATGCACGCACAGGTAATCAGGCCACTGAATCAAGTTAGACTTACTACAACCCTGTTAAACTAGGAACCAATTAAGGTTACACAGAGGTGTGACAGTCAGTGAACAGGCAAGAGTCTTTGTTGCTTTGATTTAAAACACAGACATTTTTCAGAAATGTCATATATCGTAATGTTATATTTTTTTTTCATGATTTTTTCAAAGAAGTCCCTTATGCTTATCGAAGCTGCATTTATTTAAACTGTAATAACTGTATATTATTACAATTTAAAATATCTTTTCTATTATTTTAAAATGTAATTTTAATTTTCAGCGGTCACTACTCCAGTCTTCAGTGTCACATGATCCTTCAGAAATCATTCTAATATGCTGATTTGGTGCTCAAGAAATAATTCTTATTATCAGTGTTGAAAATGATTATGCTGCTTTATATTTTTGTGGAAAATCAGTGTTTAATTTTTGAAGGATTCGTTGCTGAATAAAAATCTTTTGTAACATTCTAAATGCCTTTCACTGTTGAAAAATGTAATGCATCCTTACTAAATAAAAAGATAAATCATTAAAAAAAAAAAATCAAACTGACCCCAAACTGTAATAAAATTTCAGTTGTTTTTTTTCTTTGATCAAACATACAGTAAAAACAGTTATACTGTGAAATATTATTAACCTTGAGCATAAAAGTCTTCTTAAAAACAGAAACATTAAATATCTAGATCCCAAACTTTGTGTATATACTATACATTAATTAATAATAATAACAATTATTTAAATTTTTCTTTTAATTTATTTTAATAAGAGTAAAATTCTTGATTGTTATTAATACTAGCTTCAGGTAATATTTTATTACATTTAGTTGTACTTGCTTGAGAAAAGAGGTTTCAGTAGATTTCTGTGTCACACATTATTGGATTAGTTTTATGTGCAAAATAGGTGCATTTTAACAGTGAGAGCATTACCTGAGTGTTAAGTGTCTCAGGAGCGTTCAGTGACCTGTCCTGGAGTGAGTCGTGTTGTCTTTCCTCCTGTCTTTGTGTAGCTGCACTAGGGTCAGTTGTATCCTGCCATAATGTGTTCCCGTCTAGTAATCAGGTGCACCTTGTGTGAGGAGCACAAAGCCGCCAGTCACAGGGGGCTGAGAAACCGACTGATGAGTGGAGGGGCTGGGGGGTGACAGGGAATGGGGGCTGTGTGTGTGTGTGTGTGAGTGTGTGAGTGTGTGAGTGTGTGTGTGTGTGTGT